TTTTTTTTCAACCACACATTCTATTTCAATCTACTATTCCAAAATAGATTCTTCCAAAATAATGTGACTCAAGTACACCCTAAATAAATAAAGCAACGCATAACTTGAAAACTCATAGGAACTCTTTACATGTTTTTGAAATCTTTGATTTAACAAAAAATCTCAAAATCATAAATACCTCAAATAAAAATTTCTTTGTTAGGCCGAGAAAGCTAGGGTATTAGGTTTGTTTGGGAAGTGTGAATTTTTTGTTAAGACTTATTTCATTTCTAAATTTTAGCTGTTGAGTATTTTGTTGGACNNTTAGCTGTTGAGTATTTTGTTGGACTATACTCCAAAATACGAAAATACAAGTTAAACAATAGTCGTGCTATATGTACATAATGATTTACATACGCATGATATAGTGAGATATGCTTAAGTTAAAAATTCTTCAATCAAATAAAAAAAACTCATTCACTCACTTTTTGACACCTCGTTTGTATGTAACTTCATTATGTACAAATAATATTATTTGTTAAACAAAAGAGTGTATCTAAGTGTCTCGCGTCTAGTTTGTTTTTTTAGAATATTGGTATGTAAACAAATATAAAGGCAAATTTGTTTTGTAGGATCCAAGGGTTAAAAATGACCGAATTGGTGTCTAAATTCTAATTTTTCGAACCCAAGATTTCCCTAAAAACTTTCACAAAGTAACAAAAAATTCTTTATCGGTCAAGCCATAAGTTCGAGCTAAATGTTTCTAAAATCACTCGACTTTATACAGTGATCATGGATTGCTCGTTAACTTCAAAGTGCAATGGCTCACTACACTTTTCTCGCTAGCACTCCATCTATCACCTTTAAAAATTTGTTACGTTATTCGTTGACGGATATTGGGCGTAGAGCTCACACCCATTAAAAAATGCCAAATTATCATGGTTATCCTTGTCAGTATGAAAACAGTGTGCCACATTCAAATCAAAGACACATTTTTACCTTCTCATAAAAAGGAAAAAACAAAACCAATTGAAACGTCAAACAACATACCAAATCAAAAATTGTGATTTCACCTCCCAAATCCATTTCCCCCAAACACCCCAACTCTAAATCTACAATTTAGCCCCACGTACGCCCTTACCTATACAGTAATTGACGACTGCAAACATGGAGTGAGTTGATATATGATGTTCAACTTTTCTAGTCCAATTTAACGTCCACTTAATTAATTATTGACGCGTCATTTTAAATTAGCATG